TAAACTGGGGAGGGGGCACGGCAAGAAGCAGTGGTCTGAGGTCGGGAAGCAGGAGTCAAGGTCTGCTACTATCCAACAGTGAGTGGCCCCCACTCCTCACCCTGTCTCCTACCCCATACCCACATACAAACCCCCAACCACAAGCAGCCAGCCAAGGAGAAATGCCCGCTGCCCCCTGTGGGGAGAGAGCTGGAGCCAAGTCAGGGCTGGAGCCTGAGGAGGATGTGGCAGGGAAGATCGATGTAACCATGGTAGCCAGCACCACCCCCTCCAAGGCAGCCTGGAGCCCAGCACCGGTCATTACAGCTGGGAGGAAGGAAGGGAGACCTCCTGGGAGTGATGCTCTGGCCGCTGGAAGCCTTTACCTCCCCCTGCAGCCCTGCCCGCGGGGGTGAGGGAAGGAGGGGGCGAGCTTCCTCTTCTGCCTCCCCCTACCTGAGACCCGAGGTCCCCCCCGGGGGGGGCTCCCCCAGCCTGCCCTCCTCCCTCCCTTTCTTTCCCAGAACACATCCAAGCTGGCCTGAAGGTCCCTTCTAGCCTGAAGCAGGCATGCCCATTACCTTACCTCCCAGCACTTGACCCGTGGCAAATGCTCTACAAAAAATGGTGGCTAAATGCACAGTGTGGAGTCTGACAGACCAGGTTGAATCCCAGCTCTGCCACCAACCAACCGTGTGACCTTGGGCAAATTATTTAATCTCTCTGAGCTTCAGTTTTCCCATCTGTAAAGTGGAAGCATGCTATTTAGCTCCCCAGAGCCCGTCCACCAGCTCTCCGCCCGAGCTCCGCAAGGCATGCAATCTACGCTGGGGAAGCCGCCTGGCTACAGACAGGGCAGGTTGGGAGCTGTCTCAGAGAAGCCAGGTGTCCTCACTCCCTGGGCGGTGGGCCATGGCCTAGAGACCCAAGTCACCGGGCAGCACCCCCAGTGCTGCTGCCCTCCTCTAATCCTGCCTTCTTCGAGGCGCTTTCCGAGGTCCACAGCGGGCCGACCTTGCCCGCCCACACGATTATTAATTCATTAAGAAGAACCAGCTAAGAGCTGTGTACTCAGCTTCCTCTTTACTGGAGGCCCACCCAGCTCCTCCTCCTCCTAGGGGGCTTCAGCCTCCCCCCAGCATCCGAGGCAGGCCAGAGTCACCCACGGGAAAGGGTGGGGATGGTACTGTGACATCCCTGAAGCCAGCTGTCACTCTATGACCCCCCTCCCTACACATGTACGCAGAGGGCACCAAAGAACATGGGGGGAAGGAGCTAGGAATGCCCTGGCCGCGTAGTTCCCTTGAAGGCTCTGTGCCTTGGTTTCCAATATTTTTAATGACAAACTGAAATGACACAGTCCCTGAAAGTCACATTTCTGTCAATGAGGACTTTTTCTAATTTTTGCTTTTTTTATCCCAAGAAGACCTGGGACCTTGCACTAGACCAATGGCAGATACCCAGGCTGGGAAGTCTGTGGCTTGGGCAGGCCCCCTCAAGGGCTCCAGGCCCAGGACAGAGCCCAACACCAGCTCAGAAAGACACAAGTTTCTTCAGCTTTTAAATGGGGTATGGGGCTACGGGGCTACCAACTTCACAGAGTTGCTATAAAGAGTAGAAGCCATGTAAAGGGCTGAGTCCTGTCCTGCTGGCTTGGGAGATCCAGGCAGAGCCAGACAGGGAACAGTGGTACTCGTGAGAAAGGGACTGTGAGCCTTCTCAGCTCGAAGGGTCCCCAACCTTTGTTGGGGTGGAGGGGAGAGGGTAGCAGTTAAAATACAGAACTGGGAAAGCTACTGAAGCTCTTGGGGCTGTTTCCTTGTGAGTTAAACGGAGTTGATTAGACTTTCTCACAGGGTTGCAAAAAGGATGAAATGATGAAAATGCTCAGCCCAGTGTTTGGAATGCTGTGGGATCCTGAGCTCACATGGGGACAGCTGTAGGATGGGGTCACCAGACTCCCATCCCTCCCACATGGTAGACAACAACCTCGCATTTCTGGTGTGGGGCAGCACAAGCCCAGGAGTCAGGGGACCTCGGTTCTGGCCCCTGCTCTGCTCCTTTCTAGCTGCGAGACCCTGGGCAAGTCAATGACCTTCTTAGGTATAGGCCTTTTGTTTCATGATATGTAAAATAAAATGCTATACTTTCCTTTTTTTAGCAGGATAATCCTTTCTTGAAACTTCATATAGGATATCAACATCATTAACACAGATCATAGCAGAAGTTCATTAGCATAATCTTATTTAAAAGTCTAAAATTTTAACATTCAATTATAAAGTCAATGAAAATAACGAGTTTAACACAAAAATTGGGGGGAAAAAAAACAGGATTAGAGCTGAAAGATGTGGCCAGATTATCTGCCTGAGCATCCCTCTGTCTCTGCAGGTTTTGGGGTGCACAGTACTGAGCAGATCCTGACAGGAGGTGTTCTTTTCAAGGGTCTGTACGAACAACGGTTAATGAGGCAGCTCTTGGTAATATGGAAAGTCTCTAGTTAGGATTAAAGTTTGATTTGTAGCAGTTTGAGAGTATGGGTATTTTTTTAATCATTAGTTTAAAATCTATTATAAAATAAAATGTGAATCAAAGGTTTGCAACCAGAAACCTAGGGCTCCACACAAGAGTATAAAAACCACTGGGCCCTGACCCTAATTACCACCCTAATCACCACCCTGCCAGCCCTGTCCTCACTCATCCCTGTGGCTTCAAGGAAAGGCTGGTCACCAACAGCTTCCCCTGCGCCTTTCTTAACCCCTACCCTCCAGCCTGCAGACCCACCCCTCCCTGCAGGTTTACACCATCTGTCCCTGGTTGCCACACCTGGGTACTGCAGAGGGATGTCAATCTTGGGCCCGATGACATAGTGGCCTTCCTCCAAAGTGTGAGCTGTCACCGTTGTCCACTGGCGGCAGGAGTGAATGAGCAGGATGTCTCGCTCACTGACGCCTTCAGCATACTCCCCTGGGAGGGGAAAGGAGGACAGAAGAGGAAGGAAAGAAAAAGAGAATATTAGGAGGGGCAGAAAGAATGAGCAAGATGACCTCCTCACCTCTTCACCAAGCCCCTGCCTGGATCAGCTCTCCCTGTGATCCCTGTCCAGGTCAGCAATGCTCAAGGGACAAGCAGCCTGCCAGCTGTGGCCTCAGGGCTGAGTCAAAGCCTGTCTCCCAGGGCTCAGGCTTTCTGTGGGCCCCGACAACCAGCCCAGCCACTGTCCTTCATTCCTCGTTTGACTGGACTACCCACTATCCCAGGTCCTGTGCTGGGGCCAGGGGCTCCTAGAGATGGACCCAGTCCCTGCCCTCCAGGAGCCATGAGACTCATGGAGAAATGGGAAGAGATGTGAACAGAGAATACAGGCCAAGTCTGAGGCACTGAGTGGAGGGTGTCTGGAGTCACAGAAGGAAACAGCAAATTAGCCCAGGGTGGGATGAGGAAGAGAGACATTACTGAGCAGCAGACACTTGAGATGAGCCCCAGAGTTCTCAGCCCTCAATGCCCAGGCCAGGCAAGGAGGGTCTTGTTGGGGGAATGGAGAAAGCCGGGAAGGAGCTGTGCATTATAGGTAACAGCTGTGAGGGCAACCCCAGAACCATGAGTCGCCTGAGCCAGGAGAATGGCAGGGCTTAGAGGAGCTGATTCTGGCTCTGTCATGGGCAGCCTCTTCCCACCCACTGCCACAGGCAGTCTCTTGCATTTAGGGCACCTCAAGGGAGAAGCGGGGAAAGTCTCAGATACTCACTAACCCCATCTCAGGGTAGCTGTTTCTTGGCTCTTCCTCTGCCAGCCCCTCATCCTCCTAGTCTTTGGAACACAGCAATGCCGGGGGAGAGGGTGCACTTAGAAGCAGGGAGGGGGGCTAGTCCTGCGGAAGCTGCACTGGGGCAAAGGTGCCGGGAGGGGCTAGGCTCGGAGGCTCCAACCCCAGCAACGGTTTCCAGGGGAGCAGGAGGGACTGGCCCAGCTTCCAAGAGGCCAGTGGAGTTGTCTCCTGGCTGCAGCTGGTAGGCAGGGTGGGGGTGGGGGACACCTCCTTCCCAGCCCACTCAGACACAAAAAATTTTGCTATCCAACCAAACGACAAATGGTTTACTTAGATGGCTGGAGGCTCCATGAAGTGTGTACATTTGTGGAGGAGGGATGTGAGGGAGGCAGTAGAATGTGTTCAGGACCTGTGAAGAGGCCTGGTATCCACTGTGAGTGTGTATGTGTGTGGTGGGCTACCTGAGCCTTCCTCCTCGGGCAGAGAAAGAGAGAAAGCTCCCCTACTCTGCAACCTCCTCTTAGAGCTCTAAGCTCCAGCCTGCCCTCCTGCCTATCCACAGCCATAGGTTATGGTCACCAACAGTTGAGCCAGCACAGCCACCTGGCCTACAGTAACAGGGTCTTGTCACCCCAAGGATACCACAACTCGGTCCCACAGCCCCACTAAGGGGCCCCTTCTAAATGCTTAAGGCACACAGAGACCTTCACGACTTCAAGACACACTTTTGATCACATATTCACACTCATCATAACCACGGCCATAGTCACCACTGTCACAGACTGACAGTTGGGCCATCACACGTTTTGCTCATTCACTCATTCAGTCATAATCTTTGTTAGGCAGGATGACCTCCCTCGAGGAGCAGGCAGCCCAGTGGGAAGACAATACACGGACCATTATAACAGGTGCGCACAGTAGGAAACAAGACAGGGGTGCCAGAGGAGCCAAGGGAGCCCGAAGAGGCCTGACCGCCCTGAGGAACTCGGAAAGGTCGTTCCCCCGCTGCCCCCCGCCGCCCCGCCCCAGGAGAGCCAAATGCCAAAGAGGATGTGTGGGAAGTAGCCAAGCAGACCCTAGGGCCAGCACATCCCATTCACGCGCAGGCCCTACAGCCTTGCCGGGGACAAGGACAGTCTCGGGATGACACGCTGATGATACGGAGAACAAGACGTTGGACTGCGGGGCACCCCCGTCCGACGGCCGGGTGCAGACGCTCACTGAGCCGGCTTCTTGCCTCCGCCGGTCGGAGGAGGGGCTGCCGGGCCCCGCGGAGAGGAGAGGAGCCTGTGGCCGCCGGCCCTATTAGCATTCAGGGAAGCGAGTGTGCCAACGCAGGCCAAACCCCTATTCTTCTCACACACAAAACCCCCGGCCTGGCTGCCAGCCCCGGCTCCTGCCCCTCCCCCAGCCAAGCAGCCGCCCCCCCCCTCCGCCCCCAAACAGTCCCCTCGCTCCGTGCAGCCTCCAGGCGTCCCCTTTCGGGCCCCCGTGCACCGTCCCATCAGCAGAGCAGCCCCGGCCCCCGGCCCCCAAAGAGACGTGGGGCAAGATGTCGGGGACGACCGGGGTTGGGGGACACACCCGCAGGAGGACTCGCTCATTCGGGCCTCTCCCCGAGGTGGCCTGCTCGCCCCGGGACAGGAGGTGCTCCCGGAACTCGAAAAGAGGGCGCGAGAAGGGTCCCAAGAGGGGCCGAGCGGGGCTGGGGGCGGCGGCGGTGGTGGGAAGATAGAGTCCGAGGCCCCAGGGATGCGGGAGGATGGAGGTGAGAGGCCGGAGACAAAGGGACGGAGGGGGCGCGGCCCGGGCCGGGGTC